TTGGCATATAGACATAAATGTAATCAACATGCACTTATATATGTCTTATAAATGAATAAATACAGTAAACCTCAAAATGTTTCCATTGTAATACAGCAGTATGAAGACAGTTTCTACAGAATGATCTTAAGTTGCTTAAAGGTTTTAAGAGCTCTCAGGCCAGTAATGATGTACAAACTAGAACTGCCATAACAGAACTTCTTGGGGAAAAAAAACAATCTCGGTTTTATCAGCTTTAATTCCTAATCATCAAGATTAACTAAATGATTGAGATAATAATAACTGATATGCTAACTAATGAGATGCATCTATACATTTTAGTAACCCTGTTAAGTGAGTAAAACATTTAATATCCACAAAATAAAAGTTAAAATCAAATCAAAATGTATTGGGAAATGCAAAGTGAAAACAGCTTTACCTTTTCTCATGTGAATCAGGATGAAGGGCATAATTTTGCAGCTCACACAGAGTTATCTTAAACTTGCATAAATCTAACAGTGAACAGGAATATTATTGTTGTTGCTTTAGTCTTGATCTCAGTTTTAACACAAAAAAAGGCTGTTAACACACTTTGCTTTATCTTAAATATGTATTTGTAAATAAATTCAGATTAAATAGAAATCTGTAATATGGGAGGAATTCTGCCTTTTTTTTTTAACCATAACATTAATATTTCTGCCTCTATTTCTTTTTAATCTCTTTTCAGAAAGCTCAGTTTAACTGGGACCCAGAGACCGTGGGATTGATCCATGGATCCTTTTTCTGGGGCTATATCGTCACTCAGATTCCAGGCGGATTCATTTCCAACAAGCTTTCTGCCAACAGGTTGGGCGCTCTCAGTGACTCGTTATTTAGTGATGCTGGTTTCAGCTCTGAAAACTGCAGCTGTAGGAGAAGAAAGTATGCAAAAATAGTATTATTATAATTTTTAATAGAATGAAGTTATTTATTTGAGCACGGTTAAGCAGCATTAACTAAATAAGTTAGTGAGAGCTCATCTTCTGCTCAAGGACTTTGAAGGGTTAAAGCTGTTTGGTGTGTTGAGTCTTACTGATGGAGCAGATAGCAATCCTGTAATAAAGGCCTCACAGGAAAAAAGGACGCACCACTGACGGAGTTAATAATGAAAGATCCTACTTCTGATTTCTTTCTGGAACAGCAGCCGCTGGAATATTACAAGTGTCATTTACACACTGCTTTGGAGAAAAAAAGGCGGGAGGGGATTTGAGGTGTACAGAAGCACAGTGGTGGTAAAACAGAAACTCATGAGTTAAATAATCTTTTTTTTTTTTATCCGAGTCAGTGAATGACAGGAGCGTTAGATATTTCAGACTATAGGTTTGATTTGGACACTTTGACAGTCATACTGTAGATTCAGAGATGTGGTGCAATATTACTCCACAGCAGCTTCCAGACACCTCATAGCGTTTGTCAGGCTTTTGCCATCAGCACAAAGCATAGAGCAAAATAACAAACACATCTTAGTGACATAGAAAGGCATCTTTAGTTACTTTAATGCTATTGTTTTATTTTTTTTCTCAGGAATTGTATCTATAGTGTAAGTGTACATTACATATTTGTTTCATTTTAAATAAAGAAAGATTTTCTTCTGCCTATATTTGTTATTTTGCCATTGTCTTCTTTATTTATGTAAAATGTTTTTATTTTTTGTGTTTAAAACATCAGATTTTCACATAACTTTATATTTCGTCCTGTGTAACTCATCATAGCATCTGGTTTACCGCTCAAAATAATTTAGTAGTACTCACTAGATAGTAGATAGATAGTATTCATTTAATAAAATACCTATTTTCTCTTATATGAGTAAGTTCTTGGGTGACTACTTTTTACTTTTGCCCAGGTGAATTTAAGTTAAGACAGTGCCACTCAGACACTTTTTGAGTGCTATACCAGCTTCTGGTCTTTATCAAGAAAAAAGAAGCAGTTTACCTTTTTGGACTAAACAAAGACAGAAATTTGAAGTGATACTTTTAGTGTTTTTTGTTTGGTGTTATGAATTTATGTCAACTTTCAACAAGTTGAATAAGACCAGTGTCATTTTCAGAGGGGGTCTCTGTCTCTTATACCGACACTAAGCAATTTTGAGGAGGTCGGCAATAAACCTGCCACAAAAAAACAATTACAGATGTGCAGTGCTTTATGGTATATGTCACGTCTCACTTCCCCATTCCTTGTTAACATGTAAGTTGATGCGACTAAATTTCCCAGAGGGACAAAACTCCCGTGTTCTTCTGGGGGACTTCAACGCTCACATGGGCAATGACAGTGAGACCTGGCAAGGCGTGGTTGTTAGGAATGGCCCACCTGACCTTAACTCGAGTGGTGTTCTGTTGTTGGACTTCTGTGCTCGTCATGGATTGTCCGGCTTGTCCAGAATGAATCCAGCTCTGAGGTACCGGAAAGTCAGGGTTAAACCTGAAGTTGTCTCGCTCACCCAGTAATCCTTCTGTATGGTACAGGCTTCTGCTTTGAAATAAAACTGCAACCAAATTTATTATGATAATACTTATGATCATGATATTTTTTTTATGGATCATAATATTTACAGATGAAGTTTCATATATATTTTTTTTTATATATAATTTTCTGACACATGAAATAAGAATAAATTATATAAATAAATTATAAAGATAATGATTTCCTTTATTGTTTTTCTTGAAATAAAACAATACCCAATACCCTATTTTTTTTTTAAGGGGTTCCTCGAAAATTATGTTCCAAGAGGAGTCTTGACCTGAAAAGTTAGATCTACCACATTAAACTGGCCATTAAATCCTTTAGCTTAGTTTACAGTAGGGCTTAGCTGTTTAGCTTTAGTCTCCTATTGAATTCCACGGCTTTATGTTATTTGTAAGGCAGAGGTTCAGTTGAGGTTTATTAAAAAAAAAATATATATATATTAATTTGAATAACTTAAGCTGTTCAGGTGGAGTCTTGCTCCACAGATTTAATGTAAACTCCTGTATTTTTTCACAGGGTATTTGGTGCTGCCATTTTTCTCACATCACTGCTGAACATGTTCATCCCATCAGCTGCGAGGGTGCATTATGGCTGTGTCCTGTTTGTACGCATCTTACAGGGGTTAGTAGAGGTAAGAAAAAAAACACTCACTGAATAGATAAGGAAATTGGCGAATTGAGGTGCGTTCTAAGGGTTGGGATCCAAACAAAAGAGAATGAGATTTGTCAGTGTAACATTTTTTCACTCCTTGACAAGAATGTCCTGACAAGACGGTTGAACAGCTAGTTACAAAAAGCACAAGAGAATATCAATAACATCATTAAATTAATACAATCCACTGTCCTACAATCAATATCAACAGTGGCATATGGATTTTGTTTCTCCTAAATAATTTATAACACCCTTGAAGGAATAAATAGCGACCAGCTTGGAGATTAAACACAATTCGGCCAAATTCATGAGTTTTCTGAAGTGTTTTTCTTAAGCTGCTAGAGTGTGGTCAGATTTAGACTCCTAAATGACTGAGCTTTGGGACTATTTATTTATTTTAAAACTTTGACAAGATTTTTCAAATGTCTGAGAAGCCCAGGTTGCTTTAACAACATCCTTGAGCTCATCTAGATTCTTGTCCCCCCCTGATAAAGTCATGGGTTTTTATTTTGGCCACTTAGCGAGACATTTAAGCACACTGATACCATGTTCAGGGAACCATGTATTGGTACGTTTGGTAGTGTGGATGGGTAGCACTTCCTGCAAAAAACTACCTTCATAAAGCTTGCCAATAGAGGGAAGCAAGAAGTGCTTCTTAGATGGTAGATGGCTGTGCTGACCTTCGACATAATAAAAACACAGTGAACCAACACCAGCAGACTGTCCAACAGCAAATAACAGATTACCCAGCCTTCTTGGAGTTTCTAAATGTCCTGGAAGGGGTGCCAACTAGGGCTTCTGTCTGTGGAGCTCCTGGAGATTTAAATGCCTGTGCTTGCAACAACTGTGAAGCCTGGAGATGTGTGATTGGGAAGAAAGACCTTCTTAAATTTAGCCACAGCAGTGTTTTCCTGTTTATGTTACATCATATCAGGTTACCTTGGGAACCTGACATCTGAAAAGGTCATGTACAGGACCAGATTTGGCTTCAAGGAACTGTTGCCTGAAGGTTATTGCTGTCTGTCTTTGTGGTAAAAGGCACCAAGAGATGGTAGGATGGAACAGGAGATGTACAGGTTGGGATGTACATCTTTATGTCAGCCTGACACGGGGGGGAAGTGAATATATCTCTAGGTGACAGGCACTGGCTCACAAGGAGGACTGAAGCTTCTTTGTTTGCTTCAGCAAAAATACGGACAAGAACGGATTTTGAAGAATGTGTGTGGAGAGAGATGCTCAATTGCCATCAAGGAAGTAAAAAAAAAACTGTTCGGCAACTCAGAAATGGGAAAGATCGATTGTCCAGAGCTATAGAGGTAGATCTAAGGGCTCAGACTGATACTGGTGTGCTGTGGAGAAAGCATTTTAGGATCACCATGCAACCTTTAAAAAAGGTGAAGCCTAAAATGCCAGTGGAAAGCAATTCAGGAAACCTTCAGCAATGTTAGCATATTGGTGTTTAGATCATAAGTGATAAAAGGACTGAATGAGAGATAGAAAGACAGATTGGGGTTTCATCTAAAGGAATGCCGACATCTTGAGGAATTAAACGGCTGAGCCTAAAAGCTAAGCTGTGAAGTTGTACGCCCACTTACAGTCACATCGCTCACATACATTAAAGTTATAAGATATGCATTATGAACTGAACATTGAGATCCCAGTAAACAAAAAAGCCTAAATAAACTTCAGAGATTTAGAGATACGAAGAGCTAAATCACTGTAGGAGGCTTAAAGCAGAGCCTTTGTTTTCCACGTCAAAATATTAGTTTTCAGGCAGTTTGCTCATTTTTAGAGGGGATCTTTTCCATTTCTATTGTTTATTAAAGTGAAAATCCCCAAGCAGTTACATTCTATTTGTCTTGTACTCAGAATTAGGACTTTTTGATTCCCATTTTGTAAACATCAGACAGATCCTTGAATTCCAGAACTGGAAATCTTTAATTTTATCCCACACTTTCATATCCATTATGTCGTTCTAATAAAGAGGTAACAACAACAACAATAAAAAATATTTCTGCAAGCATTTTCCCTGTGGTATCAGAAATACACCATACTAGGAAGCCAATTCTAATGGTTTTCCTTTTTACAGTTACATCAAGTTTGCATTTTTTTCAGATCTTTATCTTTGCAGTTTCTGCTATAATCCAATTTGAGACATGCCCAGGTTATCATCTGTTGATATAAATATACTAATGGCTACATTTAAGTGTTTAAAAAAGGGAATCCAGGCAATGAAAATTCATGAGCAAGGCAGGCACATAAAAAAACGTGTTTTAATCTTCATTATGTATTTTTTTTTTACCCCTTATACAAACTGTTCATTGGTAATCCTCAGAGAATATGACCAAATTTCCTGCAATTGAAAATGATATAGATATCAGTAAAAATGTCTTAAATTAAGTGTATTTACCCTTCATTTGAGTAGGCAAATGAGACGAATAAATGTTTTTACTCTTAAAATAAAATAATTAGATAACATGCATTGAAATAAGACAATGCAATTTTGTTTTCCTATTTTAAATGTAATTTTTTTTCCATTAGCAAAATGTGTCTTTTATCTACTCAATCCAAGAACAAATGCATTTATTTTAACAAAAAATGACTTATCTAGATTTAGATTTTTTCCAGTGTGTGCGAATGAATATCTATCTAATATTTCTACCTTCCCTACAATGTCTGCCCTTTAAAGCCTGACTGCTTTGTATTCCAGGTTTCTCCTAGAGTCAGTCTTTGAGCTTTGTCATCCTGCACCTTGTACCTTTTAGGGGGTCACCTACCCAGCATGTCACGGGATGTGGTCCAAGTGGGCGCCACCTCTTGAACGTAGTCGACTGGCGACCACCTCATTCTGCGGTGAGTCACGTCTCTCCAGTCTTTCACTGAACAAACAGCAGCTTTGTTACTGATCGACACATCTTTCAAAAAACCTCAAGTCTAAGGGAGGAAAGTAAGCAAAAAGACAAGAGCAAGCTTGCTTTGCTTTACAGATGCTGGTACCACGGCAACCCTTACATCAAAACCCTTTTGACACTGTCCGTTAATGAATGCAGCTCACCTGTGTAACCTAAAGGAGTACATCTGTGCATTCAGCTAAATGAAGTCTCGCATTGCTTACTGTCCAAAAGCCCTTTCAGTGTTCTCTGCTCTATTGAAATCAGCGCTGCTCTTGAAGGTAGAAAACAGGATAAGTAATGGTGGGGCTAATGGCTCACTTTGACAGTGTTTGCTCAATGACTCTAATGTATTTCTTTGATATTTTTATAGTTGTAAAGGCCCATTTTAACTCCTCAGCGTTGATGTCATATAGTGAATACTTTTGCTGATTTTTTTCCTAATTTAATCACATTGAAAGAAAAATAACTGAAAAAAAAAACTCTTTTATTATGACTTTTTAATATATATATGATATATAAATATTATGATATATATGTGGGATTTAGTGACTGACAGTGATTTTTGATTTTACCAGGATCCTACGCTGGAGCAGTGATCGCTATGCCTTTAGCAGGAATCCTGGTTCAGTACGTCGGCTGGCCATCAGTCTTCTATATCTACGGTGAGGCACAATAACAGAAAACACAAAGTCACAACAATTAGCTTACAAATTAAAGTCATGGTAAAACTAAAACAGTATCTGTGTAATTACTGTAGTGCAGCCAGACTTACATGCTCTGCAGATGCTCTACATCTGTATTGACTGGGGTTAAGCTATTTATGTAATAACAGTTGAAAAGAAATCTATTTCTTGTCATGATGGGCTTCACAGGCTTAACCCACATGCAGAACACACCACGGACACAAGGGTAAAAAGTTCAAAGGTTTATTCAGAGTTGCAAAAACATATAAACATGGTTCTGGTATAAGCCCAGGACAGACTTCTTGAGGGTTCTCTGTAGAGAAGGGAAAGTTTGGTTAGCCAGATGTCTGGAGTTTCTTGACTGAGTTTGAAGTTGGTTCAATACCTGGAGGTATTCAGACTGATTCGACGAGAAGGGGGAACCAATTGGGTCCAGAGCTTGTGGATCCAGCAGAGGCTTGATAGCAGCAGGGTTTGTCTTCAGACTAGAGTTTGCTTCACAGACCTTGAGGGTTTGCCAGGGTTCTCTCCTGAGAACGGAATACAGATCCAGAAGTGAGTCTCCAGGTTTGGCTCGTGAGGGCAGGCGGACAGGTCTAGGAAACAAAGAGCACATCAATAGGTTAGAACACAGCTATGTTCAGAGGCACGTAGAATCAGACTAGCAGGCTTGGCTCAGGTTCTGCTAACCATAACTTGGCAACACTCTGGCGCTGAAGACACGTCTGGCTGCTGCTTATGTAGCTGGTCTCCTGATCGGCTGATGATCTTCAGGTGTGCCTGAAGCTCCTGCTCAGGAGACCCTAGGGCGCTCTCTGCTGGAGACAGATGGCAGAAAACTCCAGATCCCAACATTTCTTTAGCTGTGCAGAGCTCGTAAAAAATCCCCAAAAATGAATAAAAGACAGCAATTAATAAATCTTGGTTCTGCATTCTGTTTAATGTTTAAATACATATAGTTCATTTAGACCAATCTGTCAATTGCACATATAAAAGGATCCTATTTACAAAGCAAATCAAAGTTCAGTTTCATATGCTGAAAGTGCTCATCTGCACAGTCCAGCTCCTTTTTTCTGGCCCCTTTATCACTTCTATTTAGGTAATAAAGCCAAAGTCTATACCCGTCTCATTATCAGGGCAGTGCATTGTTTTGATGATAATTTTTACGACCTCATTAGCAAATACAAGAGGTCTGTTTAGTTGAAGGAAAACATATCAGGTTTAGTTTCATCGAAATTCCTTTCCATAATCTGTGTGTAACACCTTGATCCCTGCCAGTTGTCCTCTGTATGCTTTTGCACCGATGTTTTATCTAAAACGCTTCTAGCTCTGATTAAAATGATTAACAGTCACATGAAATTCGTTCCTTGGTCAAAGTGTTTTAATAAAAACCCACTCTGATTTTACCGCGATACAATCTTATGATTTATTGATGTAAATTAGCATTTTCCTGTCCTACGACTGTGACTCATGCTGGGACTATTTTTAATAACGGAAATTCACATCACGAGGGTCTGTGCCTGCTTTTATTAATTTGTCCTACACTCACACATTCACAGTTTTAGGAAGTGGCTTTGTAGCACATATGGCTATGGTAAATTTAAACGTGTTTTCTACTCTTTATTCGTCCTATGAAGGGGTATTTGGGATCCTGTGGTATATCCTATGGCTCCTGCTGGCCTATGGGAGTCCTGCTCAACATCCCACAATCACAGAGGAAGAGAGACTGTACATCGAGTCTGCCATCGGGGAAACAGTCAATCAGCTGAGTGTTACACAGGTCTGCATATTTCGCAAACTACAGGCTGCTTTCTCTTAAATACACACTAACACACTGGTCTGCCCTCCAATAGAAATTCAAGACTCCGTGGCGTCGTTTTTTTACCTCCATGCCGGTCTATGCTATCATTGTGGCAAACTTCTGCCGCAGCTGGACCTTCTACCTGCTCCTTATCAGCCAGCCGGCGTACTTTGAGGAAGTGTTTGGCTTCCCCATCAGCAAGGTTAGCCTCATAGAGAAACTCTTCATCCCTCTGCAGTTTTGAGAGACAAAATGCTGCTTGAAAATTAAATAAAAAAGATTTAAACCCTTTTTCAAGAAAGATATATGGGGAAAAAATTACCATAGTCCAGACTGATCCATCTATTGTCTTTACCTGCTTATGATGATTGGTGGTATAGTTCATACTAACCACTACTTTCAGTGTCAAAATATCTAACCTGCTGACCAGCAAGTTATAAGGGCACATCAATGCAAATCACATGTCGTTGGTCAGTTGAATGAAGTTTGTCAGAGATAAAGGACCTCAAAAGTGTGTTATGTTAACGTTTAAGTTCAATTAACTGCAAGAAATATGGTTGAGTCAGGAGAATTATTTTTAAAAGTCAGAGAAAAATTAGAAGAAGGTTACAAAAAGATAGCTACGTACTTTGATACTCATAGAGATGCAGTAGAAATAGAAAGAGGAAGCTATCAACTGCAGTCATCCCTCCCAAGGGGACAGGTTGTCCAAATAACAAACAAACAAAAAAGAAGAATGACTTTAAATTGCCTAAATCAAGGCAACAGACAGGCAAGCTTCAGTTGCCACAGTAAGACGTGTAAAAGCCAAAGGTGTCTTTGCTTTAACACAAAAGGAAAGTCAGCTCCAATTCACTCAACAGAGGTTCTGTTCGGTAAAATTATAAACAATATTCATATTGTATGGGTATGCTGATAGGATGACCTTTAAAACAAACATAAAAAAAAAAAAGTCACACCAACAGCAAAGCATGGTGGTGGCTCAGTGATGCTCCTGAATGCTCCATTTTCTTTTTTCATGGGTTCTGGAGGCTTGAAGTTAAATGCTCTTGGTAAGCACATGGAGAGCCTTCCAGTCCGATGCAAACTACTGACATGTTTGTTCCTCTCTCGGGTTTTTAAAGTCTATTGTTTGGTTTAACTAACTGCTTTACCAAGAAAGAAGGAGCAGATGGAAGTTTCTGCTTTGAAACATCTATCCACTACTTCTATCTTACAGATTCATACAAATTCATAATACAGATTCACTAAAAATAAAGCATTTGACACAACTACTAAATTCTGACCCAGAGTCTGCTGAGAATCTCTTGATTGCAACATGATCCTGTTATTTAAAAAGCAATCAGAAGGGAACTTTAAAAAACTATAATCTAGATTTTTTTAATAACTAAAAAAGGTAAAAATCCTTCACACAAAAAATAACAATTTGGCCTAAAAAATTTAGTTTTATGCCTTGGGAAAGAATCAGAAAGGCCTTTTCCCCGACTGAATTTGCAAACTGTAATCTGTCTTTGTCTCTGAGTTACCTTTTAGCCCATGTTGCCACTGTTATTTTACAATATGTGCTGTAAAAGATGGAATTCTATTTGTTGATCACATTTTATGTCTTAATTATTTCGCTTTTATTTGTGTCGTAAATAATTGTGAATGATCCTAATCAGCTGTTAGATGTTTGTATGTTTTTTTTTATCATCTGATGCTGCCTTTATTTTGACAAATGTTCCTGGTGTTTAAATTTAAATGAACTGGTTCTTTTTTAGAATGAAGGAATGTATTGAATAGAATAGAATAGAATTCAACTTTATTGTCATTACACTGTCACAAGTACAAAGCAATGAAATGCAGTTTGCATCTATCCAGAAGCAATATGCAGGATATCAATATTTATTTAAATGTGTACAGAAACTATGTACATATATATATATATATATATATTTTTTTTTTTTACATATATAGATGTATAGATGACAAGTAATAGCAGATAAAATGCATAAGTCTGAGCCCAAAGTATTGTCAAACCCTGAAAAATAAATAGCTTATTAGTTTTTAGACATTTTTAATCTATTAACATCACTTTCTACCAACCTGCATATTAGTTATTTCATGTGTTTTAACCCTTGCAGGTGGGGATCCTGTCTGCTGTCCCCCACATGGTGATGACGATTATCGTCCCGATCGGTGGACAGCTTGCAGATTTCCTACGGAGTAAAAAAATTATGTCAACAACAAATGTGAGGAAACTCATGAACTGTGGAGGTAGGCTAGTGTTACCATTTCTCAGGTTGCTTTAGAAAACAGTGAAGATCGTATAAAAATGCAACAAATGCACAGAAAAGTTCTCATTTTGATTTATAACTGTGAGGAGTATCTTTGAAGAATTCCTTCTAAATAATCATAGAATACGTCAGAAATTATTTCTTATAGTTACTGTTAAGTTTGAAACTTTGTTAATGCATTACTCTAATTTTTGTATTTCATCTCAGGGTTTGGAATGGAGGCCACTCTTCTGTTAGTGGTTGGTTTTTCTCACACTCGAGGAGTCGCCATTTCCTTCCTTGTGTTGGCGGTGGGCTTCAGTGGATTTGCCATTTCAGGTTTAGAGACTTCAAACTTGACTATATAAAAACAAAAATTTGAAAGGGTTGAAAATGCACAAGTGATGCAGGATTTTGTTGAAAAGATTATTTAAGATATATTGAACAATTATTTTCTAGTATTTAAGATGAAGTTTCACTTTATGGGACACAAAACAGTTGGTCGTGATCAGCTACTGCTAAATAATGATAGTTTCTTCAATAACTACCTGGTTGGTTGCTTCACTACATGAAGCTAACAAATTAATAGCCAAGCAATGTTTTTTTTACTCAGGAAAGATGACAGCTGTACAAAAATATAAATTTGCTAATGTCTTTCTATAATCCAACTGTGACCTCACTAGTGCAGAGTTTATTCCTTCTTTTTGCAGCTTCTTGTAAAGTGTTGCCCATTTATGTCACTTTTACTGTACTGTAGCCTGTTTGCTTTGACACCAAAACATGCAAATGTGTCTGTGAATCTAAGCAGTGTTACCATTTGATTAATCTACGCTATGTGCACACTGTGCTTTCAGGTTTTAATGTCAATCATTTGGATATTGCTCCTCGCTATGCCAGTATTCTGATGGGTATTTCCAATGGAGTCGGGACGTTATCTGGCATGGTGTGCCCGCTAATCGTAGGAGCCTTGACTAAACACAAGGTAAGAAAACTTTTAGATAAACAGTTCTGTAAAAAGTATTCTCTCCCTTACAGACTTCTTCTTAGACAGACTTAGACAAACTTTGTTTAAAATGATTTGAAATTTAAAATTATTTAAAATTATTTTTAAAATTGCTATTATTTATAATATAATAAAATCAGCATCCCTTTATTAGAGGAAAATGGTATTCTAATATATACATCAAAAACTGCACTTGGATCTAAAAGACCTAAAAGCAAAGAATCACCTTGGTTTGTGATTAGTTAAAGATGTTCGTAAACCTTCAAAAAAGTCAAAACAGCAAACAGGCAGTAGATTTAGAAAAATAAAAAAGTCCACTTTAAAACATTTAGTTGTGTAGTAGATTTAATACATTATTCAGTTATTAAATTCAGACATTAAATGGCAACTCTTTTTGTTTTGAGATTGTTTCAAATAAATACACATGATTTAGACAATATTTGGAACTAATTCTTCTGTTGGAGCCTATAATAATCTGTTTTCCAAAATATTGACAAGATATCGATGCCTTTGGTACTTTTGTAATAGTTACATGAAGTGTTTCAGTAATATTGCACACAGGACCTCACTCCCACTACCCCCACAAAAGTTTAACCTCAATGTTTCATCACTGAAGGATCATTAAACTTGCCTTCTCCATTCTCCCACAGACTCGCTTGGAGTGGCAGAATGTCTTTGTCATCGCTGCCATGGTGCATTACACAGGAGTCATCTTCTATGCTATCTTTGCATCAGGGGAGCAGCAGGACTGGGCCAACCCTGAGAGCCTGAGCGAGGATAAATGTGGCATCATCGATGAGGACGAGCTGGCTGAGGAGTCAGAGTTAACCAATGACTGTGCCTTGGCTTCCAAAAAGAGCTACGGGACAACAGACAATTCGTATGGTCAGAAGCAGGGCTGGAAAAAGCAGAGAGGGGTAACGATGAAGGGCGAGGAAGAACACTTTAGTAATGGAGATTACCAGGATGGATACCAGTGAGACAACACATTGATTGAATTTAAAGGATTCCCAGAACACTTTGATAAACTCAGATTTTACTTTCTGGATACAACAGAAGCTGCAGCATCATCAGCATCTCAAGGAAACCATTTTCAGCTTTGTCCGAAGAATATAGAATACTGTGCAAAAGTTTCAAACCATTTTTAATTCTGCATATTTTGTTTCCAGGGAGCCAGGTGTTCTTGTAATTTTCTATTCTGCCCAAACTCAACACACGTAATAAATACTCCTATGAGCAGCTATACTTCATACAGAAGCTCATAAACTACTCCTAACATGCATGTTTAACATGTTACATGCGCAGATAGAGTCCAACAGGATCCCAATATATCACATTACATGAGTGCTTGTTCCTTGTCTATGCATGAGTGGTTTAATTTCCTCGCACGCCCAGCCTCCCTCCTTCTCACGTGTGGACCTGTTTCTCTTCACTCATGTCAACTTCTGACATGCTTTGAACTTTGAACAACTTTGAAGGCATTACACTGCAATATAAGTCAATTTAAATAAGTAAATTTTTCTTATAATAAGTGCATTTTTTCTTGAATTGAGGAGGTAATTGAGACACTGGAACAAGACAATTTACATTTAAAATAGTAAAAAAAAAAAAAAAAAAAACTATTGAATTTTCTTATTTCAAGTGCATATTATATTGTGCTACTTTTCATGAAATCCCACACCTTGAATTGTGATGGAACTTTTTTTTCTAGATGTCTTATAACCCTTTTTAATGAACACCCTTCAGCCAGTCAGTATCCAGTATTTAAACCGACCATGTTATATATAATAAAGACTTTGCTTACCAACTTCCAACTATTGAAGAGAAGCGGTCAGACTGAAGTAGCTTTACTAGTAGGAAGAAGAGTACAGCTTCAAAAGTAGCCAATCAAAGCCGGGTTGCTTTTGCCGGTGGGTAATGCCTTCAAAGTGAGAAAAGTTGACAGGAAACATGTCTACACGCCAGGATGAGGGAGGCTGTCCTCATGTGAATATCACACCACACCTGTACAGAGGCTGCATGCGTGTGAAAATCACAGCACACACGCACAGAGAAGGATTTACCCTTCTCTGTGGACCCTGTGGTACTCTGTTTAAACATGTAACATGCTAAGCATGCACGTAATGAAGAGTTAATAAGCATCTGTATGAGGTAAAGCTGCTTGAAGGAGTATTTATAACATGTGTGGACTTTTGGCACAATCCTGACACCATAACACACTGGGGGAAAAAAGGTAAATACACTTAAGAAATGTTTACTTATTTCCAGTGTATGCTACCATTGTTATGATCACTAATTCTCCAGGTTTTCTCCTTAAGGGGTTGGCTAATTTTCCACATGTTTCTCTTTGTTCTGAACAATATATTCTGTCTTATGAAGAAAAGAACACAAGGCATTTTTGTCCTAAAAGCCTAATCTTTAACAGATTAGATCAGGAAATATTTGTCACATGTTGGGAAACTGCATTGTTTCAAAAGCAGTAGTATAAAAACAACATTGAACAGAACTTAAAAGACAAACCAGAAAATGGATTATAAAAAATTTATTAGAACTGTTATATATGAAAGAAGGATTAAACAATAAAATAATACACTGCTAAATAAAATAGGAGATGTAAAAAAGGCAAACAGAAAATTTAAGGTCTCATGTTCAGCCAGAAGCTTTTGGGGAAAATATTTTTATTAACACTGGATTATGTATGTCAGATGGTTTACCTTCAATATTTTTTTTGTGCAGAAAGGTAAATTTAACAAGCTGCTTTTATTATTTGGCTCCTTCCTAAGTTAACTTAGTGGAACAAAAAAAAGGTAAACTTAGCCATTGCACATCACTTAAATTATCTTTATAGTAAACAAAAACATTTACTCTGATTTGTAATGTGTTAATTTTTTACAATAATGCAAAATAATCCTGATCAACATCCTTCTGGCAGATTCGTTCATAGGTGTCAAATCTTTTTTTCCAATTTGAACTGAGGTAAATGGAGAAAATGAATTAATTACTAAGGCTTGTTTTTTGAAGCAAGTAGAAAATGTTCTTAATTTCAGCTATGAAACAATCAAAATTACAAAGTAAGAAATAAAGGTGGCCAGATCAGCCCCTACAATTTTGCAGTTTTTTACTGGTAAATAAGAAAAAGAACGTTTGAGTGCATTTAAAAAAGTATTTATACGTCGGAGAAGATTGGAAAAGGTTTGGCTCTAGGGCTCACCCAAGGATGTCTGGTGTCCTTATCAGAATTTGGTCCGGGGCCGATTTTTAACTAAGCCCATCGCAAACATAAAGACCTTTAGTAGTCAGAGAGGAGGCGAGGGGGGGTCTAATGTTTAGTTTATATGTAGGTCAAGAGGTTATCATTAGCTGATCTACTTGCAAACCATTTTGATGTGCAGGAAATGAAATCTATAGATAAACCAGCCTTAGAGCAAGCTTTGTTCCTCTGATTTATTGTGAATATTTTTTTCATAGCAGATGTGCTAATCTGTTAGCTAGAACTCTAAATCAGACCATTTTCACCTGATTAGCTCTGATATGTGATCAGCACCACAAATATTCCTCTTCATTGAATGAATCAGAAGACACATTCATCATTGGGCGTTGTTGATATTACCAAAAAAATAGCTCTGTTTTTCAAACCTAGGAATAAACAGAATAAAAAACTAAATAAAAAGACATGAAAAAATAAGTCATATTGTTGATTAAAAAAAAAAAAAAAGTTAATCAGCTAATGAAAACATAAAATGATGCAGCTTTGAGCATAGTATTGTAATTCCTTAATTTTCTCGTGGACCCTCTTTACACGAACTAGCTTCAATGTCTGTTCTGTTATCAACTGCAAATTATAAAAATGGTACAGGCATCCAGAGCAGCAATACACTCTGGATGGGTGCAGTATACTATCCTGCAAAACAGTTTCCGCATTGGCTTTACACCTCCAGCGTCTGATTTCTCATCTGACTTATCAGGTCTTTAAAAATCTAACTCTGCTGTCATCCCTCAAAAGTTAATTTGATTCCTATCTCTGTCTGATGACAGAGGTGGGCTCTCCGTCACGTTGCAGCACCAGCGGGTCAGTGGGAACTAGAAAGGCTTCTATAGAGAGCAAAGTCCTTAAAAAATAAGAAAAAATCTGTTCAACGATAAAAGTCAGAAACTTGTTTCCAGCAGGAAAACTACATGATATTATACTGGTGCATTCATTAGCCCATTCCGACAGCAGTTGCAAAGTTTGCTCGTTTCCCAAGCCGGCTCCTTGGAAGCAAAATATACTGTAGAAAAGAAATGAAGACTCAGTTTTGCACAGTTTCTTTGGTTACCCATGATATTTTAAAATAAACAAATAAATAAAAGAGTGCTAACAATGGACATTATTTTGCTATAGAGAGACACTTTATAAAATCGAATGTATTGGCCACAAAAAAACAAAAAAAAACATAATGACCAGATTTTATGTTATGTACAGTGGAAACCACTGTAACCAGCGCCACTCTGACTATACCTTAGAAACACATATCAAATTCCAAACCAATCTCTTGTTTCTTGCAGGTTGTGCTGATTGTATTTTATATCAGTCCATGAAAGCAGTTCATGAGATGTTTTGTGACAGCTATGCAACATCGGAAAAAAAAAAAAAAAACCGAAGATGCAATGATGAGACTTCAGTAGATCAGTGTTGATGTTGTCTTTATATGCTTTCCAGTATATATGTGTTGTTGGTGAAAAGTTGCAACATGTCACTGCTTTACTTTTCTTTTCTTATTATTTGCTTGGGAATCCTCTTTAAAACAGCTTTATTTACTGAGCTCTAAGCTCCCCTGTGTAATAATAGAAAATGATTTCTACACAGGGATGTATTTAAAAACAATGTACAGTTCACAAATATTCTCACTGTCACCTTAGAAGACATTGTGCTGTAAATGTTACCTTTTTAGATTGGATTTGCACATTTCATTCTGTGTAAAAATGGCATTGTTGTAAATTATTGAGATTGTTTATGGAATAAAAATGCTTTAAGGTTCTAGATTACTGAGTGATATTTATGTGAATGATTAACTTTTTTTTTTCTTTGTGAACTCATGGATACCTAAAAAAAGATTGAAATGTTTAGTAATTGTTTGATTAGTGAAATGGGAAGGGAATCCAGAGTTAACCTGCAAATCATTTTTGTTCAGTTTAAAATCACAAAAATGACCTGCAGAATTTTTAATTTCAACATCTTAATCTTCAGGAAGATAATTTGGAGGGGGGAAAAAGCCACATTTATTCAGAAATGTAATCATTACTTTAAAAAAAAGCAAACCGGTTGAATTTAAAGATAAGTTCAGTAAACTAGGAATTTTAAAATGTGCAAACTAGTGTGTTTTTACGTAGAGTGCACTACTATAACTAGACTGTAAAGTCCAATTAGTTAACTTTACATTAAAAAGCATGCAAACTTAGTAAAATTAACTCATATATAGTAAGTCTGGAAAGCTATTAGACTTTTTACAGTGCATATTCCAAAGTTTCATTGTTTCTGCTTTATTATGATGCAACCATACGTTGTTTTGACACCCCTGTGCAACCACAGAGTTAAAATCCAACATTTTCAAGATGTTTATAAAGCCCAGAAGTAATACCTAAACTATGTTTTTCTTTAGAAAGTCAAACAATGGATCACAGGGTAACTATTGGCAGTGTAACATAAACCAATGAAGTGCATGTACAGTGGAAAGATAGAAAAAGGAAGAAGTTAAATCAGTGAATGAAGGAAAAACATTAAACATGTTTCATGCACATTTAAAATAACATATTGTAGTACACAGATGGAATATTTAAGACCTATCTAAAAACTAGGACACCCTATAACAATAATGGTCCTTCTCTAACATTTAGACATACAGTATGGATATTATTTTTGTGTTTTATTTACAAAAAGCAACAAGAATCTGGAAGCAGGGAGTCAGTTGAACTTTCTGGTTGGTTTGAGAGATGAAGGGAAGGTAGCATGGATCTGTAGGGGTTTGCAGACTGTAGCCCAGAGGTCCAGGAGAATGGTAGTGAGATCCCGAGATACCTGGTACTTGCAAGAGACGTGCTGGAGAGCAGGCAGGCAGGTAATGAAGACTAAGAACTGCTGCAAGCAGATGAGACCTTTTCCATGATGGTCGTAGATG